GTATTTCTGAGAAAAAGTCAGCTGAAATGGTGGCATAGTTGCCACTGCTTTACGTGTCGATAGCATGTTTGAACGTATTTGCATCAGTAAATGTGGCTGTTTGGCCACTGACGTTGCCATAACAACACCTGAATTTAAATGTGCAACCTCTTTTTGTGACAGATTTTTGCATGAAATTATAATTCTTCTGAATGATATTCCTATTGACAGCTAGTTTATATGTAAACATTATGAGATGGACAGCCAGAGAGAATAAATGAAAAACAGTTATGAAATACTATATGACAAAACAAGAATACAGTTTAAAAGGAGAGTGATTAGTAAAATATCCATAAAGAAAAATCTGTTTACAGTTATGTTTCATATGGGTGTTGAGAGATGTATCCATAGATCTCTTCATTTTGCTCTCAAAGTGCACCAGATTGATGCTTTTAACTTCAATATTTAAAAAAAAATCTTCCCGGGGGAGCATGCTCCCGGACCCCCCCTAGAAAAAAAGTTGGTTCCGTGTTGTGTGAGAACGCGCTAGAGTGAGGGGGGCCCCCAAGCCAAAGCTCGCTTAGGGCCCCCAAAAGTCAGGGCCGGCCCTGGCCTTATGAGTCTCAGTTTTTGCAGAGCAGGTAAATATTTCAGCGCCTTGAGTGTTATCACAATCCTATTGGTGATGTATTGTTCTAAAATCCGTATAGGAAACAGTGGTAACACCTGATATTAACTAGGGATGCCAGAAACTGACCATGACCAAAATCGAAGATCGGACAGCCCTGGCGAATATTAATCTATTAATCGATTAATCGCCCCCCCCCCCCCCCCCCCCGGGGAGGAGGAAAAAAAAACACTGACAAATGGTATTCCGTTGTTTTCTTTTACTGGAACGTGTACATGGTACAAAAGGGCTCTTCAGTATTAATAATAGCATCATTGAAATAAATTAAATAAATAGCCTACTTTATGTGTGTATGTATGGGTGTAGGCGAGAGCGCAGCCGGTTAAGGATTAGTCCTGCCGCCGAAAAAACCCTTTCCGAGGGCACAGAGCACTGCGGAGCCTCTCAGCTAAATTAACCGCACTCTTCATCTCCCATTCACTATCGATATAATGTCAGGTTATGGTAACATAGGATTCAGTTGTGAGTGCCGTCCACCCGTCGGTGGTTATCGACACCTTTGAGACAGTTGATAAGAGTACGGCCCGGGACCCTGTAATCTGGTTCCACGTTTGCCATAAACTCAAGGAAACCGCCTCCTTCCACGACGGAGAGGGGAGGGGCGGGGTCGGTGTGTAGCAGGCTGCAGCACTCTGCGCTGCTGGCTTCCTCCAAGTTTACAGTAAAACAAACTGGTGGTGTGATCAATGGTCATTTACAATTATTAATACTATTACTATTATTAGCATTAGTCTATATTTTGGTTGAAACCAAACCAGGAAAAAAAAGAAAAACATAAATATTAATAAAAAAATATATTAATAAAATCGATTTTTAAAAATAATATTCGATTATGGAGACTGTAACGAATAATCGAATAATCGAATAATCGCTGGCATCCCTAATATTAACCTTTCTTAACCTTTCTTTTCTTAACCTTTCAGAGGTAACTTCAATCTCACACCCATCACATAACCTGGGGCTAGAAATGGGTGGAGGAGCCCTGATCTGTAAAAAAGAGATAACTTCTAAAATGCAATCAGAGCAAGCCAATCAAAAAACACCATTGACTGTCACTTTGTGTTCTGCTTTTAATGTAAATTAGGAAATCCAAGCTGTAGTCACTTCTCATTTCTAACATCACACAGGACAGGACTTTACAAAAAATGTGGTTCACGTAGTGTACCAAGCACTTAGCATGTTGCACTCCAGCCAGCAGAGCAGGAGGAAACAAGCTGAGGCTCAGTCCCATTGTGTTGAAGTAGAGACGGACAACCACATGCTATGACCTCAATAACAACCTCCTACAGTTTGTTTCACAGAACACACATGCTCACACACATAGCATTCCCCCCACACACAGGTCTGCAGGCAGACAGATATAGCACTCACATCAGACAGAAACAAACACATCTTCACACACAATGTCCTGTCAACAGCCTTGACGTGTTTAAGCAGCTTAGTACCTCACTGTGTTCTTTTTAATCAATAGCAAAGTATCACAAGCCTAATTCAAGGCTAAAATTAGCGCTAACATTCACTTTTTACAACAAATATTGTATGTCTGTGCGTGAGTCAGTGTATGGCTATGTGCACACACCTGTCAAAGTGAAGCTGCAACAATCACAAGTGTCACGATGTCCCGTCAATCAGGACGAAAGCTGTCACTGTTGACTGATACCGTTTGAGTAGAATTGGACAGATCCAATTTTAATCAAGTGGATTTTGGATTGTGCCAATGTTGTGATAGAGTGGCCGAGATTCTCCGCTGTGACTGACAGATTGCGTCTCGGACTGTCGTTGTGTTTGTCCATTTGTGTGTGTGTGTAGCCTAGGTGCACATGACTTGTTTGTCTGGGTCCTGACATATGTCTGAATTGACCATTTTTCGGATCAGCTGTTGATTGGACCTTCTCTTCCCTTCCATTTCATCAGCGGAGATAACTTCCTCCATATAATATCATGTCAGGGGGCTGCTGGTGTGAGCTGTGTGGCTGACCCTGATAAGAGCACTGAGCCCATTGCTCTCAGTCCCCTCAATCATCCCCCCCATACCCTTGAGTCCCTTTCCATAATAGTCTGTCTGTCCTTCACTGGTTCTTGGTGAACTTTAACTCTGTCACAGTGACCCTGTTTCAACAGATCTGAGGTGTGTTCTGCTGATTGGTTTCCATGGATACGTTTGGAGGAATGGTTCACTAAAGTTGTAACTTCTCTGTTGGATTGTGTACAGATTTGTTTGTGTGCACTGATAGGCTACAGCTAATCTCACTGGCAACTTATTACAACCTGAAGAGATTTAGCTTAACTCTGATATACCCTAAACTTTATAGTTTTTAGGCTGGAACTAATCATATTTTTTCATTAATAATGAATTGGCCAATTACTATCTCAATTGTGTTGTCTATACAATGTCAGATAATGATGAAACAATTGTTCCAATAGGTGCAAGTGTATTCAGTTACACTGGAGAAGATAGAACAACAAATGTTTGATTTTTATGAATGAAACAGTTATCATCGGGCTATCAAATAGTTGCCTATTAAGTTAGGGTAAGGACTTACTGACTCAACATGTATCATACTGACTCATGTTTGAGAAAAATGCTTGATATAACAAAAAGGCATTTTAGAGAGCTTTTCTCTATTCGTGTACTGAAAGAGGCATCAGCTTGAGGACACTCAGTTGACTTTTCATCATAGCCTATTTTAAACTAACTACAATACACAAACAGTGGCTGTGCTCTGTTTCTACAATGTGTTTTCTAAGAGCAGCTTCTGGGACTTAAAGACGTCTAAATAACAAACCCTGAAAACTTGTCTGACAGCGTGAGGACGAACACAAGTTAACCATTTATGCTAATGTGTGCACAGCATAGTTGTGTCCTGAGCAACATTTGTACAGTAACCCGACAGGCTTCCCTACACTGTGTCGTCTTATTATAACTCAAGGCAGGACAATGCTTCCCTGCGGGCACCGTTAATGTTGTAAGTGAACAGTTTCCTCAAACTTTTGAAGTGTACAATAACTGTGGTACACTGACGCAGACCACGCAACAGAGTAATACCATGCCCCAAAAAGTGTGGTCAACTTTAACGAGCAACTTACCAGCTATCTTCCTCCCTTTCCCTCGAGTTGCTCCTCCTGCCCACCAAACTGTTGCTTCAGAAACTTCAGCTTAATTTCATCTAACAGGACAAAAAGTCGATGATTGTTTTATCCCGCCAGGCGCCGCACAGTTTTAATAAACTTCATAAGAGATTAGTCTAAACTTCTTCTTTCCTCTCTCTTTCCTTCCTCCTCCCCCTGCCTCCCCCTCCACGGTCACGACAGAAGCCACTTCCGCGAACAAATGGCAACGTCATCTGGTGTGTGTGTGTGTGTGTGTGTGTGTGTGTGTGTGTGTGTGTGTGTGTGTTGCCTGTTTTGCACCTGGCCCATTCAGTGTACATTGCGCAAATGTAGAAAACCCAGACTGAGCCAAAAGCAGAGACTTACCTTTAATAAGAACCACATGCGAAATTTCGTTTTCGTGCTTAGATTACCACAAGAAGACAATTTAATTGTTTTAATAATCACAGTATTATCATCATCCCAATACCATAGTGGTTCAAAGTGTACTGAAGCCCTTAAAATGTTATTGGGTGAATGTGTTAGTATGAGGCTTTTAACCTATCATACAATTATTATTATTATTATTATTATTTTAAATATTAGGCCTAGTAGTTCATGAGGTAGACCTAAACCAAGCTTAAACTAACGCAGTCTAATGTAACAGTTTTGCAGTAAATTATACCTTTATGCAGATTAAATTATAGCTAGTTGTTTTAGTTGAAAATGTTTTAGAGTGTTTAGATATGGAAGATAAAGGCCTACACTCACTAATATGGAATAGAAAAAAACGGTTGAACTATTGCATAATTGTGTCTTTCTATGCTAGTTCAAACCATATAGCTTAGTCACCACATTATACACTATTTGAGTGACTGTGAAAGCCATACAATAAATAATACAAATGCCAATAACTGGTTAATACTTTAATTAAATTGGCTTTTGATTAACACTATAACTCATCTAGCCCTGCTAACATGCACCCATGGTGTTTACTTTTTTTGTATTATTCATAATGTATCTTCAATTATCAATGTATTCTCCGGCCGGACAGTGCTGTGGAAGTTAAGCGATCCACTTTATTTCAAAATGCAGACTTGTGGTTTCAGACCATACTGATACAGTTTCAGACCTATGTATAAGTAATGCCAATGCGACCCCTATAGTCAAGTTTTAGACGGTCAGTATCAATCTCAAGTTATCTGCTCTCCAGCCAGCAGAGGCAGAAGAGTCCCTTTTTTTTATTGAGCAGAAGAGAAGAAGTCGAAGAAGTCTTGGCAGCAGTTAGCAGCATGCTATCCGAGTGCAGATGTTATCAACTCACAGATAAATGAGTCGTCGTTAGTATCTTTAATATAAGGTAAGCTGATTATCTTATTTACTTTTGCCCAACGACATATATTTCTCCGCATCGTCTTCACGGACTCTTGCATCTTTCAGTTACTTCCGTGTTGATAAAATAAGGCTGGCCCTTAAGAGGGACCTTCTCAAACCTGATTGGCTCTCAGTCCTCACGGAAACCCTTCCTTAGATATGATTGGACGGCTAACGGTATGCTTTTTGAGTGACATGTAGCCACAAACTGTCGGATACGTAATGAGGTCAGATGCGGCTCAGGAGTAAGTTTCCTCGGGTTTAATTATAAGGTTTCACAAATAATAGACACAACATTGCTTGTTTCTTTATAGGCTCTATGGTAGGGCAGAGAAATCTGCAGTAGAGTCAGGACATAAGCTACTACAGTATGTAAGTGTACCTGAACGCTTTTGCTTGCTTGTTGCTAGTAACTAAAACAATAATGGGTTAATAAGTAAGCTAGCAAGGAGATATGGCACTTTTATAGTTAGCTAAGATTTGTCATTGAAGTATATTTGCCATTATGTGTGTAGTTTGTCATAAACGTGCATGACATTGATTGAACTATTTTGTTACGTAAATTCAGTGTTACGCATCATAATGTGCATATATGTTAGACATTAGCATGCTTCTGCAAAGCCTTTCCATAGTGTACAAAGAACATGAAGGCTACATTTTTACATACAGAGGGAAAGTTTTCTCGCACCGACTCTGATGCGTTACTGTCACCTCTTGACCGCTGAACACAGTTGGCACCTGTCCATTTAACCAGTCAAACTCCTCTCTTTTCTATATCCACAAGCCAATGCATTTCTTCGCAAGATTGTTTTTCCTTCACTCCTATCGGCATGTTCAGCCTTATTTGTCAACCCTTCACATTTGCCTCAGACAACTTATAGACAGACCAAAACTTGCAATGTCACCAGTTTATAGCTGGGCTATCAGTATGAAGGTGTATCCGTGTCTTTGATGCATATCAGGAAACTGAACTGTCTTCCAACTACATCATATTATTGAAATCAGGCTACAGTTAGACCTGTTATACAATTATAAATCTTTCCTCGCAAATATATAAGTTGTACTAAACTATGTGTAATATAGTAATTGTGACTCATAATTTTTCAACTTGTTGACATTAGTCAGTGCATCAACTAACATTGAATTATTAGCAGTCGTTTCGTGTTTTTGCTGCTAAAGTTGACAAAACGCTTACAGATTCTTCTTTTTCCCCCTTTGTCTTACCTTCCTTTTTTACAAATCTGCTCTTTCACATGTCTGCTCCAAGATACTCCCTGGTAGGAGACAAGTTATGATGGAGAAGAGGGCCTGAACTGAAATATTTTGGGATACTCCATATTGAATCTTCATGTTGACGTAAGATTCGAAATGAACTCTACTTATAACACAATAGTTGATCACAAAAGCATCTAAAAGTATACAGAGACAGATTATTGAAAATTGAAGTTAAATTGTATTTTACTGTAGGCTACGACAAAATGGCGTTGCTTATTACCAGGGAGATTTATGGCTATGTTCAGATGGCAAATAGAGCAAACCACACTACACATGCATTAAGTAAACATGTGTATTGAACAGTGTTGTAAGCATTTTCTCTTTGTCTTCTAGCTTTGCTTTTCCCAATCTGAGTAGAACAGTGGTGCGTGTGAGGAGATTGGCAGCTCAACTCTCCAAAGCAACCATGTCAACAAACCCCCATGGATCTAGTTCTTTTTCTGAAGCCAATGGGGACGCTCCCACTGCAGCCATTCTCATCATTGGAGATGAGATTCTCAAGGTAATATAGTGTTGTTGGATACTTACTTGTGATTTGTGCGACTGAACTGTATTCATATGATTGGTAGTATCCCACTGAGAATCCTTGAAAGCTGTTGGATTAAAAAAAAATCTCAATAAAATGTGCACTTTTGAGAGTATAATATTATTAATATAAACATACTAACATGACACCCTTATTCATCAGTATGCCTCAGCTCTCTGGACCGCTATGCAGTCCAGGATCCACATTGTATATCCCCAGGAAATCCCTGTGATGTTTATTTGATGTGGCTGCTGTATTCTTTGTTTAAATGACAAGTTCACCACGGTTTCTTGACATGACATTATCATGATTTAAACATGAAGACTTTGATTCCGTCCAGTGTCAGTCTTAGCCTCAAAACATACTCACTGTTAGACATTGAATTGAATTTAAACCTTAAAGTCATTGATAAGCCTTTGTAATGTTTTAGTGGAAACACTGTATTGAAACTTACTGAGTGTCTCTTCTTGTGCTTTTTGTCTCCCAGGGTCACACACGGGACACAAACAGTGCCTTTCTGACTCGAGCACTAAGGAGGCTCGGGGTGTCTGTGCAGCGCATCTCAGTAATACCAGATGTACAGGAGGTCATTGCCAACGAGGTGTCCCTCCTTTCTTCTAAATATACGCACCTCATCACTTCAGGGGGCATAGGCCCGACGCATGACGATGTCACCTTTGAGAGTGTTGCCCTGGCGTTCGAAGAAGAGTTGTATGCCCACCCTGAGCTCACCCGATTGGTTGAGGAATTTTTTGGTGTAACAGATAAGAACAATGCTGCTATGAAGCTGGCCATGGTGCCTCGCTCGGCCAATCTCAACTATGGAACTGACCCTCAGACTGGACAACTGCTGCGCTACCCACTGGTGAGTGAAGGCCGGATGAAGGGGGATTAGCTTAGTTCTTCCATCAATCTGAGATCTTTGAAGTAGGATCATGCTGTCATAAAACACTCAATTAGGTACAGAGTATCATCATCACCCTCCACCTGCTGACTGACACCCAGAGCCCTTTCGTTATAACTGATATCCCATGTATCTGCTGTGCTGTGTTTTAACTTATCAGTTGGATTTTTTTAGTGCAGATACATTTTGTTTAGTTGACAACTTTCAGGAAGTTGTTTATTCACAGTCTGTTCAATTCTGTTCTGGGGTTGTGTTTCAGACATATTGCAACATCAACCACTTAGCAGAGTTGCAGGACTTAAAAGCAGCTTCTTACAAGGGGCAAACATTTAAACAGAAATATAAGGAATACACACCTGTTTATGTTTGTTTTGCATCTAGCTTTTTCGTTAATAATAAAAAGACTATAGGACTACTACTGGTTAAGTAGTATATTTATAATTATATTTACTGAACAGTTTGACGGAGAGATGCACAAACATGAACTTTTCTAGATGTAAAGTCAAATCAGTGATTACCTAGTGCCAATAATAAATTGAAGTAGCCACACAATTGTTTGCACCAACTACATTTACACACACTTTAGGTAATAACACAATATCTTTTCCCAGGTCAGTGTGCGTAACGTGTATATCTTTCCTGGGATTCCCTCTCTGATGGAGAGGGCCTTCAATGGGCTGGAGCACCTCTTTGCTGGTTCAGGGACAATCTTTCACACTCGCGAGGTAACACCATGACCGTACTCATCAATACATACAAATCCACCTGAACACTGTGTATTGGAACTAAAGATCTTTGCTTTTAGGTGTTTGTGGACGCAGATGAAGCAGAGATTGCCAATGTGCTGACCAGACTGCAGGCTAGTTGGAGCCGGAAGGTGGCTCTGGGCTCCTACCCTGATTGGTTGGGCAACTATCACAGAGTCCGGCTGGTCCTGGACTCAGACAGCCAGGAGGAGGTGGACAAAGCGCGGACACAGCTGCTGGACGAGCTGCCCAAGGGGACCGTGGTGCCCTTAGTCACTGACCCGGTGTCCATCGCCACGACTGAGGTGTACGCGCTGGCCAACAGCGGTGAGGGGGAGACAGAGGGTGGTGGGGCGCAGAGATGGCAAAAGTGCACACATCCTTTACTCAAGTAGAAGTACAGATACTCGTGTTTAAAAATACTCTGGTAAAAGTAGAAGTACTGACTAAACTTCTTTACTCAAGTAAAACTAAAGAAGTATGGGCTTCGAAATGTACTTAAGTAAAAAGTACCCATAACTACCAACTGTTTGAAAAGAGTAACTGACCTCCCTTTATAGAAGACCAGGAAATTATGGATACACGGATCGTGTTCAAATCAATAGGCACGCAATGACTCTAAATAATAAAGATCACGCCACCAAACACAGATTAAAACTAAAGTAACGAGCCTGTTTTGAAAATGTAAGAAGTAGAAAGTACAGGTATTTGTGTTAAAAATGTAAGAAGTAAAAGTAAAAAGTCGTCAGAAAAATAAATAGTGGAGTAAAGTACTGATACCATAAAAATGTACTTCAGTACAGTAACGAAGTATTTGTACTCCACTACTTCCCACCTCTGGTGGAGGGTGATTGTAAAACTAAGTTAAGTTAATATAAAGTGAATATTGCAGAGAACTCTTATACTTAACACAGGCATTGGGACCAATAAATGAAGCAAAATTATTAAAGTAATTATCGCTGTAAAATCAGAGCGAGTATTAAAACTATATTAGAGGAAAGAAAATAGAATTAATATGATGAGACAAAGGACAAACAGGGTTTTATTTAGAATTTTACATAAGACCAAGGGATGCATTATATTGAAACTGTAAAACGTTGACGTCACATTTGATTGAATTCCCCACAGGCACACCACTGGGTGACAAAGTTATGTGTGCACTGAAAACGATAGAGGCTGCTCTGGATCAGTATTCCACAGAGGAGGTCTGCGCCGGCTTCAACGGAGGCAAAGACTGCACGGCGCTGCTCCATCTCTACCACGCAGCGCTGAAACGGTAACAGGAGGGGAGAGGACGGGGTGAGACAATTAGAACGTTTAGGGGCAGGGAAGATTTAATCAGGACAAAACAAATCACCTCAGAGAGATGAGATGAAACAGAGAGTCAAATTAAAAACATAATGATACCACTTCTACTCAGGGGGGCATCACTGCTAGAAGTAATGAAGAAGAAAATGAGTTTAGCAGCTACTGGACTGAGACTGAGTGTTTGGACTTTTCTTGACCTGTATTAGAAATGTCGTGGCAGATAGTGATAACGATAAACATCTAATCTCTTTCTGTGGCTTTTTTTGAATGACCCATTTTTCTCCTCCTGCCACTCTCAGGCGTTTTCCAGATGGTAAAGACAAGTTGAAAGCTCTGTATATCCGTATCGTCTCTCCATTCCCAGAGATGGAGAGATTCCTTCAGGACACAATAAAAAGGTGAACCATCAATCTCCACTATTTTACACTGTTAAAGACTTTTCAGCTGGTTGTTGTATATTATAAATAGGAGTCAGCAGCTGTTACAAGTCTTAATAGTTGTGTCTCTGGTCAAAAAACGTGTCCTAATCCTCCATGTTGCACTACAGCAGGTCATTATTTTGCCATGTGTGTCCTGTAGATATGACTTGGAGATCATCTCAGTGGAGGGCAGTATTCGGCAGGCGCTGAGCGAGGTGCAGGAGAGGAGGCCGGAGCTGAAGGCCGTCCTGATGGGGACCAGGAGGACTGACCCCTACTCACACACACTCACAGCCATGTGTCCCACTGACCCCGGCTGGCCCAACTACATGAGAGTCAACCCATTACTAGTGAGACTCACACACATATACATATGTTACATAGATATAAGGTTTCATTATGTCCTGGTATTTTTTCTCTTATTAGATATTCACTATTTTTTATCATGCATTCATATCATGCACCAGGGTCTAGGAGAATCCACTAAAAACAATATCAGCTAACGCATTTAAATGAAAAATATACATTGCCCTTATCTTAAGAGCATCTGCAGACATTTATTATAAAAATAAAAAAACAATCAGTCTTTCAGTGTCCCTCCATTCTTCAAGTTAGTGTATATAGTGCTGCAGGAAAACTGCTTTTTGACTGGTAATACAAATCTGTTTTCACTGCTCCAGCCAAGCAATTTCCCCTTGTTACACTTAATGTTATTTGTCATCTTGACTGAAGTTTCAGAGTGCAGATCCACAGGCTGAACAAAATATCACACCACCTGCTCAGCTTAATGCGATTCAACAGCCCTGCAGTAATGGCACGTTTGTGAGGCTTTAAAAGATTCTATGAATATTTTTGCCACCTTCGCCACAAATAACAGATACACCTGTAATGATATCCATTACAACCCCCCCCCCCCCCAAAGCATGTGTGAATAAACACCTCTGTGAGAAATTCTCAACAAATATTGAACACAAATATGTTTTCTCCTTTTAGATTTGCTTATTTATTTAGAAATGGCACATTCTTTTGGAGTGGCTATAGTCATTTCTTTGAACAAATCATGAATCAATCACAAACCAATGAAATGTCTTTCAACACTCCTCAGGACTGGACTTATCGTGACATCTGGTCGTTCATGAGGACGTTATATGTTCCCTACTGTATTCTCTATGATAAAGGGTGAGAACACATTCAACCTGTACCCCTTTCTGCATCCTCCATTATTCACAGCAGAAGTGTACAATCCTCTGTTAAATGTCTCTGTCGGACCTGCAGGTACACTTCTCTGGGCAGTATGGACAACAGCTGTCGCAATGCCTCCCTCCAGATGGTGGATGAGAGGGGGGTGACGCGATACAGGGCGGCCTACCTCCTGGAGAACGAAGAAGAGGAGCGAAACTCCCGCCTCTGATGTAGTCACACTTTGCACTGTTTCACCTGTTGCTGAGGAAGGTTTTCAGATATTGTATCAACCCCTACACACACACACACACACACACACACACACAAAACTCAACATGGACCTTTCTATAAAGTATTCATGTGAATATTTGCGGAATACCATCAGAATGAAATTGTTAAAGAAGTCTATGTGCGTCTGCTATTTGTTTATACATGTGAGTTTCAGCCTTAAGTGATGGCTCTCTGAGCTCTTCAATAAAACATCAGTCTTTGTCATCATTTTCCATTGTCATGTCTCTATTTTAAGAGGAGTCTCTCATATAGAGAGTGGTGTGTGCAGGGCTTTCAATATTGCTCTTGGTTTTTCTTATTCATGAATCCATTTGTCTTATTTCTAAATTGAATACAAGAAAGACAGGCTCTAAAAAATGTATCAGTATTGTGAACACATTTTCTGTCAAGGTGAGAAAACCCAGTTTGCAGCAGCATGTAGAGAACTGAAGGTCAACTGTCAGTCTCTTATTGACTCCTCTGTGTCTTGCTGAATATCCATATTTACACACTACAAGTTATTTAATGGAGCATCTCTTCTCTGGAAAACCTCCACCCTGATGCTGCAGTTCTCTTTGAGCACCTCACGGGCGCGTTGTTCTCACTTTTTCTCCATTTAGCACACGTGATTACAATAAATTACCTTCTCTGTTTTCAGACATGATTGAATCCAGGCCCATCGATCCGCTCTCTCTCTCCCCGCCTGGAGATTAGTCAACGCGGCGGAGCGCGGATCGATACCGGCCGATCTAATAAAGCGGGTCGCTTACGAGGCCACCGCGGGGTAGCACACACTGTTACACCGACAATTACCTCCTCCATCCCGGCCCCCATACCCTCCTAACTTATCTGTCCGGGCTTCACGGCTTGCTTGATTTATTAATAATAACAGTAATAAAAGAGACAATGAGCAGAGGCTTCATAATAACAGCAGAAATGTAATGGTGTGTGTGTTTTGCTGGTGCGGTAAAAACACCGGGACATTGTCTGGAATGATGTTCGAGTGGAAGAAAATTAAAGTCATAGAGACTTACAATGTGTCGGAGTTGCTCCCCTTTTTCAACTTAAAGGGCAGCCTTTATAAGTATAATGTAATAATAAGTGTGTATAATGCTGTAATGCAAGTATTGATAGGCTTTATGCCCCTACAATATGTTAGGCCTACTTTGTTGACATCACTTGAAGCCCAGTAGTCTAGTCTTTGTCTGAGGACTATTACCTACATGTTATTTGCCCTAGTTGTGGAGATAAACAACTTATTTACTCAAATATTGTATTTTTAAGTAACATTCAGATGGACATAGCATACTTCTGTTGTTGTTCTCTTTCATATTCCTATACTCCTCTAGATGTATCTGTTAGCTAAAAATATGAGTTAATTTAAGAATTTACCTTAAAAAGCATAACATTATTTGACTACCATGACCAGGGGCGCCGCCAGGGATTTTGGGCCCCATGAAAAGATATCACATTGGTTACTTAAACATTTTTCTCTTAATGTTCTAAAATTGTTTGGGCCCCTGTCAGTCACGGGCCCTTAGAATCGTCCTAACTTTTCACCCCCTTACGGCGCCCCTGACTAAATCAGGGATTCCCAACCTTTGACCTGTGACCTCTAATAGTTTCTGGCAACTGTCACATTTACAGATGTCAATGAGACGTTTGTGTGATTTCTCATCTTAACTTCTCGTTCTTATTTCTAAATCTTCAAGGTCCAAAGAGAAAGAATTTTCCAATATTTGATAAATCACAAAAACAAAGACAACTCCAATACAAATTATTACGATTCATGACACAGAACTATATTTTTTCTTGTGTCCAGCGGAGGGAAAAGCAAATGAAAGGGCACCAGCACCAAAAGAAGATCTTAGCATGTAGGGAAGCCTTTATGGCACTGCATCACGTTTCTCTACTTGAAGGGAACTAAAGGGCACATTATCATGTTTCTTGACTACAAGGTTGCAGTAGAAAGCACTTTAATGTTTTTTCTCTAATGCTTTATTTGAGAAGTCACTTCTGCATTTTGTTTTTTAAAGTTTGTTACCTTGTTCTTTGTTATTTTGTCTTCCAAAGTTCCATCTTTGTCCTTTTTTCTCTTGTCACTCATCCCTCTCACTTGCCTGTTTCATCCTTCATGTCCTTTTGGATTCACAACTTTATTCACATTATCTAGTCATCACACTTCCTTCCTCGCTGCCTTTCCTGTGTATTATGACTCAGGATTGTTGGTCAGTAAATCTTATGAATTTCAAAATGATGTTTTGATTTTGAACCGGAAGACTTAGTCAGAAAGACGTCTCTGTCGAAATAGGGAGAGGATATGGGTATTGACTTGGAGCCTAAAAGTATCTGTACTAAAATACTTTCTTTTGTGCGAGACCCACAACTCCATATTTATGAAGATGTTATCTTTTAATTTCACACGGCTGTGCTTTTGAAACAAGGTCTGTTTGAAATATACAAAACTGCAAACAAACACTATTTTAAATACCGATACAGCAACTTTTGTGTCATTTGAGACGAAGTGGAACGAGCAGGAATAAACAAAGTGGCTATTTATGTTTTCTCTTGTGCATATTTAAACTTAATTGGCTCTCCAAAGATAGATTTTAGGTGGGCTGGTATAAAAGTATGAATACAGCAGCCTCTAAAGGGGATTTGAGTATAGGAAGAACCGGGGGATCAGAGTTCCCCTCTTGTCATTAGGACCATAATTCACTTTTCTGATGAAACACCCCAGTGTCTGTCTCCAGGTGGGACTCTTCAGTAAAACAGATTCCACAGAGCTAACCGTGTGTGTGACCGTGTGTGTGTGATGTGTTCTCAGCATGACTCTGTGTGGCTTTGTACAAAAACATGTGAAAACCTTTGATATGGGAGAGAACTATCCAGTTCGGATGCTAGCCTGCCCTGGTGACTGTTGCTTTCCTCTAAAGAAATATGTTCCTAATCCAACTCCTCAGCAGTTCCTGCGGTGTAAAACGAGACTTGAAGCAGCATGAGACAGCAATTCAGGCGATGTCCTAGGAGGGATGCTTAACACAGAGGATGAATAGACACTGCGTTGTCAGAAAGCATCAGGAGAGAAGGGAGACCTTTTGAGTCTATGCAAATTACAATCCCATCTGCATGTAAAGCCAAGCGACCGGAACACGGGAAATAGGATGTTCAGTATCAAAGTGTCACACATTAAAGGTGATGAAAGTAAGAGGGAAGGAGAAGAAGGAAGGAAGAGAGAATGAGGAAGGAGGCTGCTTTCCTTTGCTGCTACATGAAGTGTGACTGACTTCAGCTTGTTTGTGTCTGGTTTTGGTGCGTTCAAATAAAAGCTGGTTTCATAATCCTACATTTGTCACAGCTTGCTGTCCGGCAGACACAACCAAGACCCCCTGCTCGCAGCCGCACACATGGGCTGCATTTACAAACGCCTTTCACACAGCGAGCTTGCTTTAATGTAAAGGGCCAGGGTCTGTGAAGCCTGAACCAGCATGCGGAAAAACTGATGAGAGAAATTCAGCTCAGCTCAACTCAACTGGAGCTCGTTTGCACTCAACAGCCATAACTTAAACATGGTGCAGGGTGTTAGACATATAAAAGATGTGTTACACTAAGGCTCAGCAAATGCATCTGATTCCTGTTTTTAAAGATAAGAAGGTCCTGCCTTGGCTTGTCTGAGGCCAATTTAATGTTTAAACTGATTTAAAATATGCTAAATCAGGCATGGAAATAATATGTATGTATATTTACCTCTTTTAGATGACATCTCGTTTATCTTTTTTCTTTAAAAAGTCGGTACAGGGAATGTTTTTCAGAGCGTTCTTGGGTTTCTTTTTTGTGCATAATGGATTTGAAAAAGAACACATTCACGAAAAGATTGCCATGTTTTTTGATGTATCTATTGAAAATGCTCTTGCCTGAGTTTAACAAGTAACATGTTTTTTTCTCTGCTTGTTATACTCTGGTCTTTCCACATTCATCACAGACTGTGCGACACACCGGTAGCTGCTTTGTGAGCACACAGCAGAAATAATTACACTGTTATTGGCTACCTGACACGTGGAAAGGATGTGAATACGAGCCAAGCAGTTGCGGTTAGTTTGGATTTTTATTTAGAACAAACAAACTCTGCCTACACCCGAAGAGGAAATAAAAACCCTGACTATTAAGCATTACCTGGAAATGAAATAGAACACCGATTCATCAACACTGTAAAAGCATTCAAAGATAATCCTCAGAGGTTCTCACAACCCAAAGTCTTACACACAAAATACATTCAGCAATACCATAAACCTTTTTTTGCTTTTAACAGAACTCATGTTAAAGATGACGTAAATCAGTTCATATATATATAATCAAATAAATAGCGTTCAAAACTAAACAAACAAATTACTTAAAAGCGGTTGTGTTGTCATGTGACATCTTCAGTAATAAATGTGTAAATGCTAATGTGTCTTTAAATAGATTAATTCATTTTAAATTATCTTGGGTGACATTTTGGAGCTTCAGTTTGATAAATGAGATGAAACGTGATTTTTCTGTGTGGAAGTTTTGGGCTGTCTTTTGTCATCAGATTCAACTTTTTAAACTAGTATCATTTTATATTTAACAATTCAATAATTACACCACTTAAGCTTTAAAGCTTTGGGGTTTCTGCATCTGCACAATTACTACACCTACGTTATTTTTCTATAATAGCAGTTGCATGGCTTCCAATGTTTTACCTTTATATAAAATAAGTGTGGTATATTGCGAGCAGCTTGGGAAACAAGTGAAGTGAAACCTCTCAGAATAAATTAAAGGGATATTCTTAAACTGAATTCTGAAGACTCTAAAGGCGTTGAGAGTCTGCTCCAAAGATTTAGCATCTTAAGTCAGTCTTTTACTCTCCACTGCATGAAGGGTCAAATATTCACCCCGAGAAATATATACCGAATCTGATTATAAAGTATTGAAAAAGTAGACGCAATATGTGCAAGAGATGTCATGTGACACTTCACTGATCGGTGGCGACTTTAGAATAGTTCTCGATCTTGATATTATTCAGAGGTCTTAGGCAGTACTATATTATATTGCACACACACACACACACACACACACACACACACACACACACACACACACACACACACACACACACACACACACACACACACACACACACACACACACACACACACACACACACACACACACACACACACACACACACACACACACACACACACACACACACACACACACACACACACACACACACACACACACACACACACGAGACTTTACCTTGAGGAGTAAGTAACCCTCAATGCAGATATGTGGGTGCGATTTTTGTCCAACAGAAAATCAAAGTGTTTTCCTGTAAATCAGAGCTTTTTTATGCCTGGAGTTGTTTTATGTAGATTGAGGAGATTTCAGACAGTTTACGGTTATTCAGTCCCATTTCCTGATGCAAAAAGGTTGTATAAAAAGTAGTTTTTGGATATTGGCAGTTATGAGCCTAAATGACAACTTATATTTGGGAAAAGATCAGTGGAGCTTAAGCTTTTGCACCTTTTCAAATTGCTAACTGGCTCTGCCCTACAATCACATTCATAGCTCCATCTCAGTGAAAACAGTGAAAACATAACAACATGAATGAAGTCCAAAAATGTATCCCATTGACTGCGGCAAAAACTGCAGTTTATTTTTACAATCCTTGCATGTGTTTTCCAATGTGAAGGATAGCTCATAAGTAGAGAATGGCCAAAGAAAGCCATGTTCACCGCCCTGCAATTAGGGAATTGTAACTTTATTTTCTTAAGTCTTTAGAAGGACACTTCCAGCATCGGGGACGTCCTCTGACCTCAATTCACCCTGATTCTGAAATATGTTAAATATACAGCAACAGCATTTACAAGAACATTGCTCAAGGTGTCAATTACCAGCTAAGAAGCTCTCAACATTGAAATGAATTCATACAAAATTCAAGGAAAGGCTGTAGCAGCATGTATCTCGGTCATGTAATCCCTGTTAAACTCTAAGAAGAAAGAAACATGGTACCTTGGAAATGTTTAAAACTTAACCAGACATCTTTAAACTTATTTCAGCAGGTGCAAGTCATTATAATATAGCTTTATAAGCATTGTTTGAGTCTATTAATAGCCAGAGTTTTGTATTCTGAGATGTAATCAACACCGGCAATCCAAGAATATAAGCCAGTTTGCCGTGTTGAAATGTGATACAGTCTAATTACAGTTTCATTGGTGGAAAACACAAGCTGCAAATATGGATATGGAACACTTTAGTCAGACAGATAGTTAAAAACTAAATATGTCATCCCAGAAATGGTTTATGATCACAGTCGCCACAAAAGGCCGTGCAGGAAGCTTTGACTTTGCATTTTCACGATCTTCTAGATCTAAATATATATATTATGGCAACATTTCCATAATTACAACGTTTATTTTGGAGGTCGAGTTTGGTTCCAGCTTTGGTATTGATACACAGCCGAATGAAAACATCAACATTGTTAAGTCCAAAGAAATTCAGAAATGTTGACTGTTCAAGCATATCCTAGAATCAAAGATAAAACATTTTCTTTTTTTCAAAACTCAATATCACATAATCATGTAAAAGCTTTGGTTTGTGCATGCTTCTGCTGGAATAAAAAGTCATACATATTTTACACACTAAAATGGAAATGGACACTGCTGCTGCTTTTTAAGTCCTTTTCCTTTGACACAAGTCTAAAAGTACCCCCTCACTTTCTGCTGATTTCAGCATGCTTACGTCATTATTCACAGTGAAAAAGAAGGAAAACATAGGCTTTGGAAATGTCTTGGTGAAGGTCAAAATCATAGCCAGCTCATCATATGCCTCGACAGTGACAAACATGTCATCAAAGGAGATCATAAACCATGAAATAGCAGCATTAGCCCTATTATCCAGGAAATTGCCTTTCTGGCTTCACAAGAGGCTCGACTACATTACAGCCTACATAAATGGAAATGCATTAACAGCTTATCTGGATGTACACTATATATTTTTTAAAACTACACAAAATGTTGTCTTGCTCTGTATTCAATTCTGTGTTGAAACTGTGTTTTTTGAATTACTGAAAATGAATGCAGTTACTACTTTTAGGTTGATGTATTGGCAATGATGCTTCAGGGTCTATTAATACCGGGAGTCTATTGGAGTCTTATCGGGCTTCGGCTGTAGATAAAAACTCAGCTCAATATTCCACTAAGTTACTCACATTACAATGGCCTCTTGCACCACAAGGTCATTTAAAGTCCCTGAAGTCTCCTTATCTCTATACCCATGTGTATTACACTGGACGTGTGTGTTCCGCAAATAAAGCTGTGAGTATGCTTGTGTGTCTTCACGGAGACTTGCTGTTAAAACATAAATACTTTCAAAAGTTAAATGATCAACTCGAAGCCTTTAAATGGAACCATATTTATTTGTGTTGTCTTGCCACGTAAAAAAAAGGCTCAGATTGCAATTGGCTCTTCACAGAAGAAGCTACATTCTTCACTAAAATGTGAAAGAAGAACACGTTAAACAAACACTTAAGATATCAAAAACACATTAGTTGTACATGATTGTAAAATCCTACACTGAAGTTATTTAACACATCTTCAAACATAACTTGTATCACCCATTTAGGAAATTAACATTTGTAAAAAAACAATAGCATGACTGGTGTGATTTACAGCATGGAGGAGCATATATTAAGTGCTAACAATGTAGTTTAAAGATAGAATAAAACATTTAAAAACAATTACCTATACATTTTCTGAGCTCAAGTCACTCAAATATTGTGGGGGAATAATTATGTAAATTTATAAATATATGAAATTCATTTAATTTCAATGAAAAATAAACAACTATGCTGTTCATTTACATTTTTAAAGTCATGTTTTTTTCTGATATCTTTTTCTTAATCCTGGACAATCAATTTATTTAAACAAAAATATTTGGCAAAAATAACATGATATCAATTTACCTGTGAAACTACATTGTAGCAGAGCATATGCAAAAAACAAACGCAACACATCCTTTACCAGAATATACATTTTGTCCAATTTCTGCACTTGAATATCAGAGATCCGCTCTTATTTTTATGCGGTTAATACATCTTAATTTTGCAGAATATATTAACTATACAGTTAAACCTAAAATCAAGGATGTGTAAAAACCAGGGGGCATCGACAAATCAGCCTCCGCAGCGTGTTCAGTGGAGCAAGGCGCGCTGATGCTCCCTCTTTACCCATAAACCCCTCTGTTCTGTGCTATATTCTGAAGCAGAGAGGAGTAGAGAAGCAGAACAACATGGGGTCCAATCAAAGAGGACTAACTCTGTCCCAGGTCCCGTTGTTACCTCACAGGACCGCAATATAGGGTTCACGTTTAAGTTTAAGGCCAACCCAGTCCAACTCCAGTTAAACCAGTTTGATCCCAGTAGGGGGCGCAGCAGCCCCAGTTGACTAATCATTCCTAATTTCCTCCTAAATACCTTTATTTCCAAAATCTATACATTTGTTGATGAATTGATCTTAATCATCTTTTTCTTAAACTTCAAAAATGTGTCAGTTATGCATGTCTAACAATATGAAGAAAATAATGAAAGTCCCCAGCTAACTGATTTAAACTCAACCTGAGCCATTCAGTACAGTAGTGTTTTAATTTGGTCACTTTTTACCATGAGGCAGGTACTCAAAAAATAAGAGAATACAACACAAAAAGTGGAACATGAGGAACTGAACCAAAAAGGTAGAGGAAAAACTTGTTTGGAACGTGTCCTGACAGACTCAATGCTATCTGGCATCAGAGTTCGTTATGAGTCTTATAGCTCCATGTGTGATATTCTGTGTTACTATACACATAGGGTGAAAGAAATTAATCACTGTGATCCAGCGTTTCGGTCCCTGAGTCACTGTGGCCCCGTTCTAGAAAAAGACACCATTGTTTTCTTCTGGATTTTCACAGGTAAACCAGCCACAATGGGACGTGTCATCTGCAGCAACTTGGCACAGAACACATTGCGTCATTCACTGTCCGAACGGAGAATGCGTTGTGTAAATTGACCGTCTCCATCTCTCGGGCCGGGGGGGGGGAACGGGTGCGAGGTCAGCGGTGCGGACGGACGAGGAAGTCAGGTAGTCAGCAGGAGGAGGACGAGGGTGAGCAGGAGGGGAGGGGAAGCTGTCCTCAGGTAGCAGGCACTAATTACAGCCTCAGTTTCTGAAAGAGAGAAGGACATTATTGTCACCCTTAGTGTGGACTAGTTTTCCACGTTTTGGACTCAGTGCTTTGGTTGCAATTCATGAAAACCTCAATGTTAAAGCATATATAGTTATTATAGAAAAGGCCTCCTAACTTTGTCGGCAGTTTTTAGGGAGTTGTTGGTTTTTTAGAACGTTTTAGAAAGCACCATTGGAAAGACTCATGCAAATCCCTGCAGCAGGTTCCAAAATGGTGTGGAACATTTCCAGAAGATAGTAGGATGTTATAGAAGTGCAATACTGGGTATTGTTATAATAGAGCTGCAAAGTTATGGTGACTACATACTCATTTTTGTTCATACAAATAATTTGTAAGCACTTGTAAATATGCCTATACGAGAATAAATAGGGATTAAAATGTTGCATCTTACCTTGTATTTGTTTTGAACCCTCTGATGTTGTTACTAGAGAGAGAGAAGAAGAGAAAGAGATAATTCAGTAAAGTTGAGGCAAAGAAACAAGTTGCTGATTAGTCATTTTTGTATGCTTAACTTTCTCAATAAAGCTACTGCTTTGTGGAACAGAGGGAGCGAGAAACAGACAAATGACCAGGGGAAGGTATTTACCATTACTCAAAGCCTTACGCCATGAAAAATGAGTACTGACTGGCTGCGCAACCCTAAATATGTCCCCTATGCAAATTCTCTTAAAGGTCGGATACAAAAAGCGCTTGAGAAGCATGGCAACAGGAAAAGATAGTGTTATGTAAATTAGAAGGAGTAAGAATGATCCAGATTATACAGAGGGGATACAGGAAATGAAAAACGGGGGGAAAAAAACACATGAAAATTCAAAATGACAGAGCGAAACCAAGAAGTGGACAGAAGATGAAAGGAAGAGCGTTGGAGACCCGAGTGAGAAAGTATGTCGAAAAAAAAGAAGGTTGGAAAGATTGAAACAAGGTCAGACAGAGAGAAAAGGGAGGGAGAGAGAGAGAGAGAGAGAGAGACGGGATGGGGGGGTTGTTTGTGTCTGGGCGTCACTTTCTCAGCAGGGGGTGGACTAAAAGGAAATAATGGACGGAGGGATGGTGAGGATGAAGGGAAAAGGAGGGGTGGGAGATCTGGTCAAAAGAAGAGGATAAGAAATACAGGTGGTGAGAGTGAAAAGCGGAAACTGTTCCGAAAAAGGAGCCGCAGTGTAACATCAGCGAGGGAGAGGACTATAGGTCAGGAAACGTGGATGAGGCTGCACAATTGCCGCTGTTATTAAATCGATCTGTAGCCTTGAAACCCCCGCTGACACTGCAACCCCAAAGACTCAAACACACACACAAAGACAAAGTGTGTATTGATGTCTCCAGGAAAACTATCACCTATCCACATCCCGCTGCGACTGACTGAGATTATGAGAGAGGAACTGGGACACTGAGCTCATCTAAAGTCACACAGGGGCAGAAAGGATTTATCAAATGAGGGCTTATTTGTCGAAACACTGCGTCTGTCTGTTATCTCCATGTTGTACCTACAGGTCTCTGTTGCTACGCGTCGCTCCGACAGACACGAGACACTAAATGACTCCCAGGTTCGGTACAGCTAACGACCATCGAGGGGTTAACGAAGCATTAAATAGCCTGCTGGGTCTGGGCCTCCGAGTACTCCGCTGTGCGTGCATGCGTGTGTCTATGTGTTTATAATTGCGAGTGTTGTTACGGAGAAAATCAAAGCAAACAAAAAGAGCGTAATAATCAAACATTTCAGGCCTTCATTAGTTACATTTGTTTGGCATTTTTGCCATCAACCCATGATTTAATACAATTTATTGGTCAAAGAATATTTATAAACCAGCTGTCATTTCAAGTTTTAATTGTGTTGATGAAGTGTGAAAAAAAGGTGGATGATCTAAATCAAATTAACGATTTTAATAAAAAGACTAAATAAAAAAGAAGATTTATACGAAAAAATAAATGTATATCCAGTGATATCACTTAAATTCCTTCTCGACTATAATGACTTTTTTTTCATTCTGGAAATGTTTGATGTCACTTTAAAAAAAAGAATTATCTTATGACAATTGAAAAATCAGTATTAAATTAAACTTGGGTAGAGGAAAAACACTTTGCTGAAAAGTATTGTTGTGTTAACGCGGCCGCGCACCTCGAAACTAAAATGCCTTGTGTTTACCCGGCTGTGTGTGATATGTGTGTTTTGATCTGACTTTAATCACATCATTTGCGCATAAACTGAACACCAAGGACCATTAGTTTGGTCAACATCATAATTTCGCTCATGGTGAGCAGCGCCACAAAATGGCGTTCATGATGGCGTGACTGCAAAAACAGTGCTGTCTCTGCACTGCAGTCAGAAACATGCGCATGTGTAACTGTACATGCACAACAATGGCCAAAAGTGTGAGTGCGCGTGCGCATGGAAGTGTATGTGTGTGTATGTGTGTGTGTGTGTGTGTGTGTGTGTGTGTGTGTGTGTGTGTGTGTGTGTGTGTTCTCCAGTAGGCAGAACGCCCCACTGCAGAGACAGACACTGTTCCACCATCCTACCTCTCCTCTCACGCCGCCATTTTACACATAGAAGCTAAAGCTAACCAACCCCGACTATTAGCACTTCACTATTAGGAAAAAATTAGCAAAAAACACAAAAAGCGAAATAACGTCGAACGAAAAACGCAAACGGACAATAGCAGTTTAAGTCAAAAGTATCGAGTCTGGGTTTTCGAGAGTCCTCGGCTGTCCAAGCGGTGTGTGTGTGTGTGTGTATGTGTGTGTGTGTGTGTGTGTGTGTGTGTGTGTGTGTGTGTGTGTGTGTGTGTGTGTGTGTGCGCATGTGTCTGTATTCAAGTTCTGTCCTTGTGTGTATCGAGTTCAGAGGGTACAAAGGTATTCGAGAGAAAGTGGAGGGGGAAAAGGAGGGCAGCGGTGTAAGACATTTTGAAAAGGAAAAAAAAAGAGAGAAAGACAGTGGAGAAATGGCGAAGCTCTGTAAACTGAAATGAATGCAATGGACTGCTCACAGCGGGAGAACGGCAGAAATGACGTGGAGAGAGACGAAGAGAGACCAGGAATCAATTAGAGAGAAAGGAAAGTTGGTCTATAATGGTTTCTCACAGTAGGGTAGCTGAAGAAGAGAAAGGCGGAGAGGCAGTACGACAAGGACAAACACAGAGATAAACACAACAGGAGGAGTTTCAGGAAGAAGTTGAAGCAACGAAAAGAGAGAGGCAAAGTAAACCGGTGAAAGATGCAATAGAGGGGGGCCCGAGATTTCACATGACACCAGTCTGCTGAGAGCCCTGTTTTCTGATGCAACACACATTCAAGCACCTTACAGCAAAGCACTTTCTCTGGCGTGATCCTTGGCAGCGTTGTGTTCAAAACATCATCATACACACCACTGCCGCGCGAAAACATAACCACACCTTTAAAAAAGCCAAAACATGCTTGACAACACTGCAAGCCACAACAGGAACACACACACACACACACACACACACACACACACACACACACACACACACACACACACACACACACACACACACACACACACACACACACACACACACACACACACACACACACACACACACACACACACACACACACACACACACACACACACACACACACACACACACCACACACACACACACACACACACACACACACACCACACACACACACACACACACACCACACACACACACACACACACACACACACACACACACACACACACACACACACACACACACACACACACACACACACACACACACACACACACACACACACACACACACACACACCTATAAGCTCCCTGCGTCCCTGAGTCTGTCCTGTGTGGTTTATTGTGTTTTTGGGCTAAATTAAGGCGATAAACACACACATTCACACACTGGAGAGGAGACCGAGGGACTGGTGAGTGGAAGCTGACCTTGGAGCAATGACAGCGTACCTGACGGACCCTCACTGTCATCACTCTGTCCTTCAGACCCGTGTGAGGTGTGTGTGTGTGTGTGTGTGTGTGTGTGTGTGTGTGTGTGTGTGTGTGTGTGTGTGTGTGTGTGTGTGTGTGTGTGTGTGTGTGTGTGTGTTGATAATGAACTCAAACGGCCACAACAGGGCCTCCCCGCATGGAATTGTGGTTTTAATAACATGCTTTTATGAAAAAGATAGAGTTCTGGCGAAAGAAGAAGGAAGGGAGGTGCACAGTTTGAAGTTTAGATAAGAGATAAGATGTAGTTGAAGGGCGAGAAGCTGCCATCACCGAGGGCCACACACACATACACACTCTCACACACACAGACATAGTCACGGTGTGCCCTGCTGCCATGCTACCTGTCAGATAAAAGGCAACCTGAGCAGGAAGGAACCAGAGGTGAGGTGTTACTACAGGGAACAACACAACAACAGCTGTGGTAAACCGCTACTAATGGACAGGCGAAGAGAGCGAGAGACCCTCCAACTCTCCTTCATCTCCTCCCTCATCCATCTCGTTTTGCTCTCCTCTCTCCGGCCTCATGTATTCTCATCCCAACGCACTCGTCGCACAGCATGCGCACGACAGAGATGGAGCGGGTAAACCGGGAGAGGGGAGTCGGTGAATTACTGTGTAGTAGATATGGAGATAACAAAGAGATAGAGAAGACACAGAGAAGGTGGAGTGGCTGGGGCGGAGTCAAGGAAGAGGAAGTGTTAGAGACTGCCATGGATGGTGCCTAGATTAGTTTTGCTCCAGTAGCGAAAGATCATAAAAAAAGAGGACGGGTGTAGAGAGCTGAGGAGACAGAGAGAAGGGGAGGATTAGTGCCACTTCAGGAATGACAGAAGACTAGAAAAGAGCGGGAGGAGTGGAAGACAAGGAGAGGGAGAACCTGACATTTAGTCGGGATTAGTTTTGGGTTAAAGAACAGGATGAGAGGCACCGAAAAAAAAGGGGAAAAAGAAACAGTAGATAGAAGTATGTGAATCTTTGTGGGGGGGGGGAAGTCTTTCTGATGTAAAGTAATGGGCTTTAACGGTAAAGTCAAGTGTGTGTGCATGTGTCTGCCAGCGTGCGTAATCTACACCATTCCAAATATTTTGAATGAAGAAGGTCAGACTGCCACATTAGCATTTTGTAAAACAACTATCTGTGGTATTTCGAATTAATGACAGCAGGATAATTAACATATTTAAAAAAGTCATCAGCCTTCATTCTGGTAATAACGCTGCAAATTACTCCCCGCCTCGCGCCGGAACAGTGATGGCATTTAAGAATTCATTCAAGACGGATGGGGCTCTTCTTATTCAGCTTTTCTTTTTTGCTTTACACAAAAGTCACACACATTTAATCAAGGCGGTGCGGTTGGGGGGTATTTGTTAGACAACATGTAGGAATTTAGTGAACGGATCTCTCACACATGCTTAGACAAACAACCATTGGACAAGCTTTCCTGGAAAAAAGTGTGTGTTGGTTCATCCTGGGACAACACGACAAGCCCCCTGCAGACAGCGTGAGGATGGGAACTGGGACAGACGTCTCAGACACGCACATGAGGACACACACACAGCACAGCAAGAGAGCACACGCAAAGGCCCATGCAAGAACGCACAAAAACAGACACAGAAAAATGTCCTACACAGAGAAATGCACACACACACACACACACACAGACACACACCAACAACTGTACAGGGATTCCCACAGCGACTGGGCAGCATTCCCAACCGGAATGGGCAGCTCACTGGACTGGAAGACTAACATTACTCCAGGCGTGCTCTGGACACTCTGGGAATTTCACACTGGGGTAGAGAGAGATGGAGAGTGGAAGATTGAGGGAGACAAGGAGTTAAAGAAAAAAGGAGAAAAGGAGGGAGGGATTGGGGAAGAAGAGAGGAGAGGGAACTAATGGTTAAAACAACTCTCAATCCAATTACGTTGTAAAGCCAGAGTGGATTGTGCAGTAAGTCTGTGTGAAGATTCTGAAGATGAGTTTAAGTTCCTTGATAAAAGTGAAGGACATTAGAGCATCACCGTTATTCAAACAGAAAGGAGGAATAGTAGGGGGGATGAGGAGCAGTCTAAACATCATGCCCTGGTAGTAGAGATGAGAGCGGCAGGGAGAGGAGTATCTTGCTGTACAAAGGGGAGAGCATGAAAGGAAGAACAGATGAAAAGTACTCACTGGGCTCACAGCACACGGTGACGCGCAACTTCATACATGGCAGAGGAGGGCCTTCATCTGTCGGTAGAGCTAGAGAGAAAGAAAGACCGATTTAAATACGTGCTTACATATTAAACGGTTGATATTTAAACATGTCAAACATAAAGAGAAATATGAATATGCTGAATGAAATCTTCCCATCCGATCTTATGAGAGCTCTCTTGGTACCTCTTATAAAAGGAGGTTGTTTTCCTGTTTCTACCATATCAATACATCATACAATACATTATATCCAAATAAAGAATCTTCCTACCTCCTACTTATCCGCACAACTAAATAAAAACAATAAAATACAGGATTGAGAGTGCAACTATTTTAAAATGCAACATCTCTGATATCAATACTGATCACAGCTCATGTGGGAAATCTGGCCAACATCAGATGTATTACCTGTCAGTTTAGCATCACTTTCACAAAACAACTCTGTCTGGAAACTGCAGTTAAAGGGCTTTACATTTGAATTATTCACAAACAGCTGCTATCTCAACAGGGACCCACCACACAAGCTGAGTGTATGATCGCTAACAGCCTGTCTCACTTTGTATCTTTCATTTCAACCGATAAGATACAGAACAGAAGAGCAGTCTTATAAAGCACTTTCTACAGTGGCTGAGAGAGCTCCACTCGCAAAGACAAAACATCTTCACTGTTATGACAGGACATATGTCAGATAAGGAAAATAAATGCAGCTAAATGAAAAAAAGCAAAATGGGGCAAACACAGAGAGTACTTGCATGAGCTTCTACTCTGTTCATTTCACGATGGACATGCCTTGATATGTGATTTGTTTGTAGGTAAACATTTGTCTCTTACTGTATGCTCCAAGATGAACAAAAAGTGTACATGTCAGTTTGACGAAAACAAATCTTAACTCAAGATCTACTACTCCTGAAAAAGCTTTGAGCTTCACTCCGCAGAACGCAGAGGTTGACACTATAAGGTATGTTCACGTCTTAAAGGGTGAAAGGTGAAAGTTACAGTGCGCCAACTTGAAATCTCTGTTTAAGACTTGTCCATACGAGCAGGATTTGGAAAGCCAAACATGACGCGTCATGCAAATTACATAAATGTGACCTGAACAGTTGAAACAACAACTGCACATACTGTACACTGAGAACAGGCGTTTTAATCTAGTGGGAGACATCTTGTGTCTGGCAACAAACTATATATGCAAAGTATTATAAAACATTTTAACATCTTGGAGAAGTAGACGGGCTTTTCAAAGATTTTGAAGTAGTTTGTTTAACTTTTTATGTCTGCGAAAAACCATATTAGAAACTATTTTGAAAGGCAGACTATCAAAAGTCTTTTCATAAACGTCTTGAAACATGTCTTGATAAGATCTTACAGATATGTTCTTCCAATTATGATTGCACATTTAAGTGTTGGACTAACAACAACAGCATTCCTCAGTTTTAGGTGTCCCTTGTAAACGTTTCCTCGAATGGTTCCATGTTAGGGCGCAGCTGACCATCAGAGGATGTCAAGGTGCTTCCTGTTTGTGGGGTAGAAGCCGCAGGGATTGGTCAACAGGTCAGTGTGAGAGGAACAGTCAGTGTGTCGTCCGGGTGATCGTCTTTGGGAGCCGAGAGAGGAGCTGAGCCCGGCTCAGACTGAGCCAACTAATGCCATTAGTGTTTGTAATACCATTGTACTTCTCTCCCAGGCTAATGCCATTATACTGTCCCAGTGCTAGGGGCCCATTCAGCACAGGGACCCCAGAGCCAGACATTTAGACCAACTTTACGCCTTATCTTTGATGTGGACAAAACACACACAATCGCTCTGAGCCCAATGTGGCCCAACCGAAGGGGGGGAGGGGAGGGGGCCCATTGTTGCTTTTCACTGAACTTGCCTGAACAACCACAATAGCCCAGTGTGTGTGTGTGAGTGTGTGTACATATATACATGTGTGTTAGCGTGTGTGTGTGTGGAAGCGCTCTCTCATGCCATCACAATGCTCCATTGTCCCGTGGACCGCATCAGTAATTTATGTAAAGAATCTTTCTTTCTCTTCGTCTCATCCATCCCTTCACTCTGTCGCTTTTGTTGCTCTCCCTTTTCTTCCGTGTGGATTCCTCTCATCCGGCCTCTCTTGCCCCCCCCTTCCTGTACTGTCAGACTGTGTCCATCTTTTGCTCTTTCTCTCTCTCTGTCACTCCTCCACGCTTCTCTACCTCCGTCTGCTTCCCCCCCCCCCCCCGTTCACGGTCGTCCTGTATTGATCTCTGTTTCTTCCTCCTACACTTTGCGGTCGCTCTGTCTCTTTGTTGTCACCCTTTCCATACTGCATTCACTTGATTCTTTCATTCTCTGCCTTGTTTCATATCCTCCCCCTCATGGTTGGACTGATGCCAGAAGTTGTAAAAAGTAAGGGAAAAAAAACAGATTTTACAGCCACTAAACCATCTTCTGTGTCTCTCACTCCCTTTTCTCCCTCCAGTGGTTTGAGATAAATGAGTGAGAGGACAGAAGCACAGGAGAGTGTAATGGGAAAGGGGAAACCTTCACTAAAAGAGTGTAACTGCCTACAGGTCTAAGAAAACATCAAATCAATGTCATTCAGGAGGAATTTATGGAGACCATTAATGCTTTAGGCTGCAGTTTGCCAACACTCAGAGCCTTGTAAAAAGAAAACACACACAAGCTAAAAGTTGTTCTCTACCTTTTCATCACTTAAAAAAGGTAAGGATGTGTGGCCACCGCACTGCCTCCGACACCGTCTGATGAACTGAAACAGCAGACATTTATATATTTTCTCTTTTACAGCTGTTCCACTTGACTTCCAGTGTAAGGGGCCTGAAGCAAAGATTCATGGCTTTACTGAAGTAGAAGATGCTCAATAAATACTAAGTGATAATTCACTTTGGGAATTCACAACAAATAACCTTTAGTCATGTATGGAACCTAGATACTTTTTAGGAAATTACAGTACTGCTTTCAGTAATATGTGTGATACAAAATAAGCAGCTTCTCTGAGAAATGTGTTTAACTCCAAGGGGTTGGGGTAAGGGTTGACTAAGGATAAGATGTTACATCATTCTAGTCCTTTTCAAAGCTTGGAAATAGTTTTTTGCTTACCGAGTCAAAATATTTAATGTTCGCTCTCATCTTGCAAAACAAAAAAAATCAAAACTTCACCTAGTCCATCGTCTTACTTTTAAGCACAAGTCACTTTTCTTTATCTGATGTGATAATAATCTGAACGTTTTGGGGGGTTTGACTGATGCAGTCATCTTTGGTTTGAGGAAAATGTGATCTCTTTTAATATGTTTTCCGTTCATAGACAATCGATGGATTTGCAACCATAACTGACCAAAACGTGCCCTCATTAAATGACCAAATCCATACAAATATCTGACTGTTTCAATATTTTTGCAAGGCTGCTTGTTTAACATTTGAAAAACACTTTTTTCACAAGTTAGACCATTTATTTAAAAAGAATAGGCTTTGAGAACTCATGACTGTTGATACCAACACATTACATTACATGTTACCAATACCAAACTCTTTTAAATGATACCCAGCTCTACTTGTGACCCACTTGAATCCGACACAATGGCTAAATGACCCCCCACACTCCCACACAAAGAGACACGCACATCCTCTACTCACAGCTGTAGTAGTAGTGGCGCCCTGGCAGAAACTCAAACCCCAGCGAGAAGGGGGTGAACCTTTGGATCTTCTCAGAGAAGCGCACCGGTCCAAAGGGGGCGTAGGGGGTGTTACACTCCCACCTCTTGATGGCCCCTCTGGTCTCCACACAGCCCTGGAAAGAGGCCTCCCCCACCAGGTAGAGGGCCAGCTCCTCGGGCTGCCCGGAGCCCTGGGGCCTCTTGTTGGGGTAGTGAGGGCAGTAGATGTCCAGGTAGTCATTCAGATTCACCTGGATGGACATATCTCCTGCTGTTAACCTGGAAGAACGAACGAAAAACCACATTCATATTTCACGTTACGATTACATGGAGTAAACTGAAGGGTAAAGAGACATGCCGATTAAACAGCGACGGAGAGAGAAAGAAGACAGATGACAGGAATTCCATCATTCCTTTGTGCCGGGAGGAATGTGAATAGTTACAGCAGATGAATAGTTCATCAATATAACGATTGCACAGGGTTAGAAGGCAAAGTTGTGCAGGTTTTAAAGAATGTTTTTACAGTTTGATGTATCCCAACGACTGTTTTCTACTTCCAGGCCAGCAAAGGAGCGGTTTTGAGCAAAAACAACAATTCCTCAAATGCTAATTAAGACCAATGAGGGGGGTTCAGAGTAGAATACACTTGACTCCCACTGTTCTCCCTCTACACACACAGAAGTGTAAAAATGTATGCAGACGTGCACGCGTATGCACAACCGCAGCTTCAGTCAAGGTTGACCGGCTCTGGGCATAACAACAACTCAGGACAAGAAAAGCATCATTAGAACAGAAGAGCTGCATTATGCATGCTCCTTTAGACGGCAGAGTCTCACTTCCTGTCAGCCACAATATAAAGAGTTACCTGGGTATAAACTAATACGGAAGAAGACAGGATGTGAGGGAAATGAAGGGAAGTCGATGTATGAGGTGAATTCAACATGAAGAAATCATAAGACTTATGAATCAGGAGATGGTAAATGAGGAGAGACATGTGACTGATGGAGGTGACATGAGACGAGGCCTGGAGGAAGACAGATGGAGACTGATGAAAAGAGAGCTGTAGAGAGACAGGTTGGAGCAGACGGATGGAACGAAAGAATGAAGAAGAAAGCCAGAAGTTTGATGAACAGGTATAAAAAAAAAAGTGGAGTAAAGAGAAAAGAAAGTAGTGTTTTAATTAGCGACCCCAGAGAGTCCGAGTGCAGACACACTGAGAGGAGAACAACGGAGTGTGAGAAAGAGAGGAGACGGACTTTAATTGGGCTCCTCTTCGCATGGTGCGCAGGAGACGAAGAAAGAGGGGCAGAATGTGGCTTGGGCAGAAGGTTCAGGTCCATCAGCGGGAGTCTTTATGGAGGGGTGACGGAGCGGAGGAGAGAGGAAGGGAGTGCTGGGAGTCGGCGAAGGGGAACATGGGAGTGAAAAAGAGCGCGGAAAAGGGAGGGGAGGATGGGCGGTGGACGTAGACTTCAGATAAGTAGGCCGACAGAGAGGAGTCCAAAAGAATAAGCGAAAAATAAGAGCGGAGAGGGAGGAGGAGGAAGAGGAGGGGACAAACTGAAATAAAACAGACATGACAGGTAGCAGGAGACGAAGACGGCCCAGCAGATCTACAGAGCGTGTGAAAGATCGATGGAGCAATGAGAGGAGAAATCACAAGACGCTATATGAGAAGGAAGAGCCATATTACATGATTGACTTTCAACCTGAATGCTGGTTGAGCAGTGATAATAGAGCAGAGAGTGTGTGTGTGTGTGTGTGTGTGTGTGTGTGTGTGTGGTGTGTTTTGTCGTGGAAACGTAGGTGAGACCCTGCAGGCAGGTCTCACTGAACGCTGCTTCCTGCTCAATAGCTAGTGTGAAGAAATGGCGATCTATCTATCTACAGGACAGGACACTATTGATCGGGATCCCTCGCTCAGGGGAGACACACACACACACATACACACACTCCACCTGATCGATATCCCCTCTGTGAATGTGCTTGTGTGGCCGGGCCCCGACGGCTCTATTACCTGTGTGTGCTAATTACAGCCCAACTTGATTGTCTGGTTAAGGGAACACAAAAGCCCATAAGCCAGCGTTAGCACAGAGACACACACTCACCGACACACTCACAGACACACTCACAGACACACTCACAGACACACACACGCACACTCAGCAGCCCGTTTATTCTTCATACTACCTGTGGTGCTTTTGAAGGCTTCTCCAAGACACAGAAATGTTTGCTTAGGTGCACCAGCTGTGGAAGTGTGCGAGTGGGTGTGTGCATGAATGTGTATGTAATAATAGACATGTGCTGTGTCAACATGCTGCCCATCCCCCCCCCCGCTATACAGTACATGTCATTCATCTCAAGCTTCTTCTTCAGATTCCCCCCTCACCCAACTCCTGATTCATTGCATTCCTCCTCCTCACCCCCTTCCTCTCTTGATCTCCTTCCTTATCTCTCCCCACTTTTGAGGCTGCATCTCATCCTGCTCTCCCTCCCATGTATGACTCCTTTCTATCCTACATTACCCCCCCTTTTCCTCCCACAAGTCTCCAACCTTGGCCCGCGCCATATGCACGCCAGCAATTACAGAGAGCTGTGTGCTCTACTGATGTCAAACTGTCAGGCCTCTTTCCATCCTCTTCCCTTCCTTCCTCCCTTCTCTGTGGCCCTGGTAGGCTTGGGTATGCCCTAATTACACTCAGCATCCTCCCCTACTGCCAGCCACCACACAGCAGAGCGGTGACAGCACAGGGGCATCATGGGAGCACCGAAGAGCTGAGGGTGTAAAAGAACAGAGAGCTGGTGGAGTAGCCCATCAGCTGGAGAACGCTCTGGAAGCGGAGGATTGGTTTGGTCCAGAGCTGGAGCAAAAAGGGGAGAGGGCAAAGACACAGCACACACACTCTCATGTGTGTTTGAGCACATGTAGGCGTGAATGCACACACACACATGTTCACACACTTGAGGCATACACACACACACAGACATGAAAGTACTTCAGGAGAATAAAACATGCTCTCCCCTCATGCCAGAGGGTGATCGGTGACACCCTTCTGAGGACTAGTGCAAGCTCTTGGTTGATACAAAAAAAGGAGCCGGATCAAAAAGAACACGCGCCCTTCAATCGAGGACTTGAAAAGGCGAACATTTATCCTTTTTTTTTTTTATAATTGCAGGAAATGACATTCAAAATTTAAAAAATTGAACAACTGATGTCCTCCCCATGTGTGTCCATGTTAACGTGTGTGCACAGGGAAACATACATTCCTCTGTGTGTGTGTGTGTGTGTGTGTGTGTGTGTGTGTGTGTGTGTGTGTGTGTGTGTGTGGTTATAATGAAATGCAGGGGTTTGACTGTGGCAGAGACCTTTGATCCTTTAATATGAGAGAATAATTAAAGGAGCAACAATCCCACAACACGGCTTCAGGAATACAGAGCAGATACTCGGTCACGCAGAGCAGCTGCGTACTATGCATACTGAATACACTTGGGTACTTAACGCATGTACTGCACATAAACATGGGGGCAACAAATATTCCGCTACAATACAAATGCTAATATCACACTGTACCATGCATCCCAAATGAATGTGTACTGTAGATACTGTGGATTTAATAAACGCGTTCATGCCTGTGATGGAACGATAAGAAGCCCACAGTTAAAGTCTGTTGGTCCCTTGAAGTGACGACGGGAGGCAGAGAGGCTTAGAGGAGCCTCAGCTCTTCCCGTGGTAAATCACAGCAGGCGGATCGCTAACTCTGCTCACTATGGTGACTGGGCACAGTACGTTTCTGTGGTCACTGTGCCTTGGCGGGGCATAGCGTGACACAGCTTCAGCCTCTGTGGTGCTGTAGTAACACTTCAGCTAAAATGGGAGGATGTGTGTTGCTCTCGAGAAGGATGACTTTGTGAAATGGTATTGTATATTTCAGTTTTGGTACACCAGATGGGTGGGGTTAGCCGTTAACAGATGACAGCTAAGTCATTAATCTTGATGAATAAAATAATGTCATCTTTTACATACTGATTGCGTTAGTATTGTGGGTGTCACGGTTTGGTTAATCCAACTAGTCATCTCAATTTGAACTGATACTTTTTCTGGAACGGCTTTGCTATGTGGTTTTGCCTGCTGAAACAAAGTCAATCTGTGCTTTCAAATCAAGTTCAACTCTGGTGAACTTTCGCACAAAAATGTGGACTGCCGACCAACTCCACATTGTTACGCCTCTCCCAGTCTTTAAGGAAAAACTGAATCGGGACTTACTGCCAGACTAAACTGTTCCACAAACTGAAAAATGTGCAGTTGTTGGAATTGGCGGGGGTTGTTGGAACAAAAATGCATCTTGAAGAAACTGTTTTTAAACCAACCACAGCAGCCAACTACACTAACTAACCGTGTTCCTAACCTTTCAACCACAGCTGTTTTGTAGACACGTAATAATAACTTCAGCTGATCAGTTTTATGGTGACATCTTGTACATCTTAAAGAATGACATGGATACATCTCTCAACACAAGAGAGGGATTGAAGAAAACTGTTTTGTTGCTGGGCAGGTGAAGAAGACGAGGCTCTAGAAGTCTTTCCATGGGAATAACAACACTGTACTGTGGGGGGAAAACTGCTGGGAAGTATGAGAGAAGTTCAAAACAAAAAAGCCCAAAGATGGTACAGGGGGAAAGAAGGAACAGGGCAGAGAACAAGAGAATACTCTTTCCCTTCAAAGCTTTAATGACCTCCTGCTCCAGAGGCTATCCTATCTTCAGAGAGAGAAACAAGAGGACACCTGTAGCTCCTCATGAGTCAGACATGAGAGGGAGAGAGAGAGACTTTAATATGTCTTTCTTTTGTTCCCCATCTCTTCTCTCCTGCTCAATCTTATGCTGCGCTGTTGTAAAATGGAACAGAATCAGGGCAACCCCCCCCCTCCCCTAGCCATGCCCCCCCCCTTCGCCCACACAAAGCCATGCTGTGTCCGGAGCCTAAACACCAATGTTGTGTCTAACTTGGTGCTTACTCCCCTCAACGCGCACAAACAAGGACTTCCCCCCCTACCTCTGACCATCTGGGGCCCCCCACAACCCCGCCTGCCCAGCTGGCAGAAATAAATCCCTTTACTAACCCCCTTCAACCTCACATCCCCGGGACCCTGTATTTTCAAAATGTAAGTGTCATCAAACTGAGGTAAAGGATGGTGATCAACCCCTCCTCACTGAGAGGGAAAAGGGACTTAAGGGGAACAAGCTGTTGCTCTTATCTACCGTTTCCTGTTTGGTGGGCCT